TTGTGTCATTAATGCAGTTCCCTTATTTGTTTCCTTTCAAAGACGATTTAGTGTTGATAAAAATGTGACTTTTAAGTCGTACGTTCAGGAGTTGCGAGAATAAAAACAATGGAACACAATGAGTCACTTCAAGTCGAACAGCGGCTGATGTAAATGCAGTTTATGCCTCTTAGAAAACATCACGGCTCCCAGAGTATTACACCAGATAAAGTGCAGTCCAAAAGCCCCCAAAGAGCTGCCTCCACTGCTGAGACTTCTGCTAAATTGACTTGGCACTGATCATATTTTATTCTTCCAAAACAATCAAGTGGGGGCTGAGAGTAAAGCGAAGTTGCAGAGGCCAAATGGGCCAACGAAACAAGATAATCAAGCAAATAATCAATCCATCTATCAGCACAGAAAAAGATGAAAGCAAAGCGACGGAGCTCGTGTAAAAGTGAAATAAGTTCTACGAACACAATACAGCACGTTATTCTCGGTCTGTGAGCTGTACTGTATCAGCAGTAAGTCTCATTTGTTGGGTTTGGCAAGTTCTAAAGGGAAATTTATCTGGATTTGAAGTAACACAAACATCTATAATTATAATTCCAGATAAACTGCTTTATTGTTGGGTGGTTTCATCTGCGAGATGGAAGAAGAAAAAAAAGGCGTTAACACGATACGTCGGTCTTTTCAGGAGGAAACTGGCAAAACGTTGACTGAGATTTAAAAAATATTAGGACCACCTGCTCCTCCATGGAAAAACAGTTCAACTTATGATCCCTGACTGATTTCACACTATTAAACTCATTTAACAGACCGAGAAATGCTGAACAGGCGGGCGAATCGTTGCGTTTCATACAACTGGTGGTCCTAATGATGTGTAGGCAGTAGATGTACAGCTACGAGTTCTGCAACAAACCATCTGTCAGTTTTTTCTTGTAGTTCTTGCATGGACCAGTGGTGCTACACGGAAACACAGGTTTTCCAGACAAATTATTATTTGTAATTTATAAAAACATCCTCAGTTTTTAGAACTGAAACACCACGAAAACACCAAAAGCGCTGCAGTTTTATGTTAGGAGCTGCAATGCTGCCACAAAAATACACCAAAAACAGGAAACAAGGCGCACAGCACGAGTATAACGCTTGAATTCTGGGTTACAAACTGTAAACACCAAACTCAGGGTTTACTTTCTCTTTGGATAGATTGGTGTTTTAAGATTTATTTTACCTTGAAACCCGTTTCTAAAAAGTACTGTTTCAGAGCTCCTAATATATTATTTCCATGTAGACCCAAGGCTGAAACAATAAACTTGGACAATCCATGACAGAACCCAAAGAAAGTCCACCAGAATACATTTACTTTTAAAAGAACAATGTCAGGGAAATGGTCAGACTTTAGGCCTTACTTATTGAACTGGTTAGCAGGGGTGTCAAACTTGCTTACAAAAGGGGGCCTAAATTAAAACCTTTTTCAAACAAAAGGCCAATTTCAAAAACCACACTAACTCAAATCAGATACCCAACATCTTTTCTTTGAGTTTCGTTGGTCTCATTTTATGTTCTCTGTTGTGCTTTCAACATTATAATCATAGATTACTGATAAAATTAAAGAGATAGAAGTATTTTGCGTTTCACATATCATCTTGGGGGGCAGATGTCAACGAGGGCCACATTCGGCCCCTGGGCCTCGAGTTTGACACATGTGGTGTAGGAGTTCCAGTTTTTTCCTTACAGCTCTTCGACACCAGATGGCGCCAACAGGCTCACACCTGCAGACCATTTTCCTAATGAGCTGTAGGAGTATAATGGATGTTGATGACTTCAGTCCGACGCTGGTGCATTGTCTGCCTACTGGTAGTTGTGTTCTTGGCCACTTCCTAGTGTTTTTTTTAAAGATTAAACATTTGTCTCGTGTTTCAGCACGGACTCCTGTGTTCCTCCTGTGCCTTGGACCTCCCTGGTTTCATCGTTAAAGCCTCCCAGTGATTCCTCCAGCCGTTCCTCGACTTCCACCTGTCCACCGATCTATACAACCTTTCTGGGACCTTCTCGTTTGCGACTACTGGAACTACTGGACTCTCACTCATGTGACCTTTTTCCTCCAATAGTAAGAGACAAATAACATCTTGAATCAGACTCAAGGATCCAAACCATCATCTTAACTCTTGTCCTTACTCTCCAGAGTTCCAGTCCCTCCCAGTTGAGTTGCAGCGCTACTGTTGATTTCACATTTTGTAAATAAACAGTGTCAAATATTCCCTGGTCTTTGAGTTGCTCTTTGTGGTCACGCTGTTATCTGGGTATTGAGTAAATCCTTACCGTTAGATAGAAAATGTTACTTTTCGAGCAAGAACACTTGAAGTCTTTACAATCGAGAATGCATGGACGTAGCAAGAATTGAACAAAATGCTGCTGAGTTAAGAATGTGTACTGATCCACACTGATCCACTGACCTTTGGTGCTAAATCACAGGCTAAACCCGTCTTGTTTTTCTTTCAAAATACAGTATACTGTTCTACGTATATTTGGAAAACTGTAAATCTGGTTCATAAATTGGCGGATGTGATTTCTAAAATTTGGCACAGGAAATGGCCGGCATCTTTCTTTAACACAGAAGTACTACAGCTATATGAAATAAAAGCTTGGCTATGGTTCTGAAACGGTCTGGACATTTTTACAGCAATCTTTCCAAACATCATTTCCTCTGATAACAGGAACGTTTCAGACTTTTCAGAGCACACTTGTTTTCGCCGCCTCTACTTCTCAAGCTAGAAAAAGTTGCCTGAACATTGTTTTTGTTTCAGTTCTACATCAGAGCCCCTGCGGAAATCCCATGATACTCATCACTCTATCGGATCGGCTGCTGCCCCGGAGGTAATGGAGGCCGACAGGAGCCGACACAGCCATCATGTGAAAAAATAAAAAGGGTTGTGATTGAGGCCGTTGCGACGAACCGATATGGTTTCCACAACAAAACACAAACAAAAAGTCTAGTTTTGGTTGAATGCTTGCAGCTTGAGCTCTGAGTCAAATTTATGATTTTAGGACGTAAAGAAACTTTGGACTCTGGAGAAAGGGGCGGGGCACGAAGGGGGTTTCTCTTCAGGTTCCACAAGCTTCTAATTTAACTGATGAATACTATCTATTTATATCTGATGAAAATACAGCCCCTCACTCAAAGCAAAGTCACTAATTCTCTGCTCTGCCAGGAACACAGGACAGCTTTGTGTTGACTCAAGGTCGTTCTCTGTTCCTTACTAAATCTTGCCAAGACCTTGTGCTCACAAGTTTCCTCTGAGGACAAAGACTTTTTCTCCTGGAAAGCAGCGAAGGAAAGCGAGACTGCTCTGCTCATGACATGGAGTTTTGTCCAGGTTAAATGTCAGCTTCGAGCTAATTTTTTTATCAGTGGCACCAAACAGTGAATGAATAAATTGATTTTGAAATAAATAATTAAAATAACCATTACAAAAACAAAACGTAACAGCTGAAACGATGAGACAAAGCTTAAATACACCTATACCATGTCAAATCCAAAAATCACCCAGAAACAGACTCAGTGAATAATCTCCCTGAACTTAAAGATACAATCTTGACATAAAAATCTATACAGCTGTGACTTTTCTTGTGTTTTTGTAACCAAAATAAATTCAGTGTTTATTTTCATTGAATCAACTTGCTTTTTTTTTTATTTTTACCAAAATCAATTCACTTTTTAACATCTTTACTCATTTAATATAAACCTCTGAACTAAACAAGTTGGTTTCATCACTACTTGAACTTGAAACATCATAGTTTAGCTTTATTACTCAACAAATTTAATTTAAATGCATTTCAAAGAATTTTGGTCCAAACACTGAACCCTGTGGAACACCACTAGAACTTTTTCTTAGCTGTGATTCTATATTTTAGATTTTTTAATTAATAAAACCTATTAACCAGGTACTCCATCTATTCAGCCATTATCTTTATCCACTTCTTCCTTTTCGTATCGCAGGGGGTCACTGGTGTCCATGTCCAGCCGTCACTGTGTAAGAGACGGGGGACACCCTGGACAGGTTGCAACTAACGACTAACAAGACAAAAAAACATTCACTCTCTCACTCACACCTAGGGACAATTTAGAGTTACCAATCAGTCTAACATGCATGTTTTTGGGCTGTGGGAGGAAACCGGAGTACCCGGAGAAAAGCCACGCATGCACGGAGAGAACATGCAAACTCCACCCAGAAAGGCCCCAGGCCGGGATTTGAACCAGGGCAACCTGCTCGCTGAGAAGTGGCAGCTATACCAACTGCGCCACCGTGCTGCCCTTAACCAAGTACCGTACTGCTTTACCTGATAATTTGCGAAACCTCTTCTTCTCCATTGTTTATGTTTTATGTTGAGCAGTGAATGATCAACTGTGTCCAAAGCTTTACATAAATCAGAAACACCCCACACCTCGTTTCTTATTTACGGTTGTTGTATTTGTTTATTAATTCCACCTTAGCTAGAAACATCAGTCAATTACTCCTAAACCCATATTGATCATCACTAAGTAATTCAAGTTTCTCCATGAAATCAGAGGATAATCAATAATCTGAATAAAGCTTCTTGCTTAAAGGTTATGCAACAACATGGTCCAACCTGCTCTCCTGAAAATCCCAGCAAACTTTCCAACCAAATATTTCACCTCAGCTCCAAATAAGTTCTCACTACCCACATGAATCCTCCAAGGTCTCCATGATGCATCATGCATTCACCTCCTGTTAGTTCCACAGGCAGTCTACAAACCGACAGGCTGTTGAGACAGGTCTGAGTAAAGGAACGAGTTGTTCTGTTGCATTTATCAGCAGCAAAGTCGAACAGATCTGCCCAAAACGTCACGAAGGAAAGGACTGTCTTCAGGCGTGCTGTGTTGTTTTGGTCTGCTGAGATACAGACTTTGGGTGAAACAGCTCGGAGGTTTAAAACAAAGACAAACAAACAAACGTAAAAAGCCCTCCAGTTTGTTTTATAGTCTCTTCGTTTACCTTGAATATGAACATCTCTCCCCTCAGTATAGCCAGGGTGTTGAAGCCTCCGTCGCAGATGTTTGGTTTGGCGTTGGGATGGGAAGGGCTGTCTCCTGGGGGGAGCCTCGGGGGTCGCGTCTGCCTATCAGGTTTGCGGGGGTCTGAGGGAGGATGGGAGCGAGGAAGGGGCGCCGTGGGCAAAGGCTTGGTAGGCTGGAGATTCTTATCAGGCGGCCCTGGAGGAAGTCAGAGGAACAGATCTCACTCGTTGCGACTCACGAAGCTGCAACATGTTTTACACACAAACCATTTGTTAAACTGAATGGTGTAATAAAACACTATAATGTAAAGACGGGATGATTTCATGGTGGACAATTATTTCCAGGCATAGAGTAGTGATGTGGCTAAAATGAAACACCTGAGAACGGAGCAAAAACAAAGTTTTGAGACAAATAAAAATCACCATATTTGAAGCATTTGCAAAGATGCGTACCTAAATAATGACTGTATAATACTAAGATATTTATTGCATGCAACCAAAAGGTAAACATTTGTATTTTTGCCCGTGTGTGTTTCTGTTAGCAAAATATTTCATGAACAACTGAATGGATTTTTGTGAAATATACAAACTATTTAACTTTTGGAGTAATTTGGATTTAAGATGGTCACCACAAATAATAAATCTTAGCAAACACAGAATTGGCTTTAACTCTGTCAATATTAGAGATACTGAGTAAAAAGGTGGTGTGGTAGTAGCTGAGAGTTCTCTTGAAGTTCAACGCTAACGGATTACACAGGATCTCACAATACGTAGGCCTGTCATGATTAAAAAAAATTTGCTGGGCGATTAATTCTCAGAAATTATTGTGATAAACTATAATACTGTTTTAAATTTGACAATAATTAGTAATTATTGTAAAATTTAAGAAGAAATGTTAATTTTATTTTGAGTGTAGTACCTTTTTTGACCACCGGTTGGCACTGTTAGAACCAATAGATGGACAGTGAGGGAGCGAGCAGCGTGTCACCTTAAGAAAAATGGGAGGGAGGCCCCTTGATGTGACATGGGCTGTCTCTTTCCTTTTTTTCTGGTTTTCAAAATGGCGGACGCTCAGCGTGGTTTGAGCTCTTTAGCATAGCATTTTTCACACAAAGCTTTTAATAAAAAAAATCAGTAAACAAGTTCTCAGCTCTTTTTGCAGAGAAAAGAGAAGGGGGGGGGTCAGTAAAAAGCACTGGAGTTGAGCCTTTTGTCATCCAGTGTCTTCAGTAGCAAGAGAGACACGAAGAAATGATAAATGAAAATTGATTTATTATTTATCGCAACAGGCCTAACAATACGGAATAATAGTTGTAATAATAGGAATCCAAAAAGAAAAACTACTTATACGAGACAAGAAAGAAAACATAAAATCTACAAGAGTATTGCATACAGAACATTACACGCCCGACCGCAAACTATTATACAAAGATCTATAGCAATGGCCCTGACAAGAAAAGACCTTGTATAACTTTTGACCTTGAGGTGTGACCTTGATCATAAAGCTGGGATGATTAAAAAAAAGATCAAGTACAGTGTTTCCCCTAGATCAGTTCCACTGGCGGGGCGCTCGTCATATTTTTATTTATTTTTTGTTAGTGGGAGGGGAGGAGACAGAGTCACATCTGTGTTGCCCACTTGCTAGCTTCCTAGCTTAGCGCTACGTTGCTGCCGGATTTTATCAACAACGGGGGGTGTAGCGGAGTGGTATGTCAGTAGCATTTTTGCTAGTTCATTTGTATTGCGCCCCGCGCTACATCAATACAGACAGTTGTCGACTTGGGGGGGCTATGTGTTCGGTAGGCAGGGCGCTCTGCTCAGTTGACGGGGCGGTGCACCCCGCTTGTATAATGGTATGGGAAACATTGAAGTAACATGCTGACTAGTGGTGGTAAAAATTTGGAAAACATTTTTGTAAATTATCTTGAGCAGATCAGAAGTTATGGCTCGGACAAGAAAATATTAACATTGACCTTGATTTGTGACCTTGACCTTGAAGCAGACATGATGAAAAGGGTATGTAACACTCTGTCTAGTGATGATATATTTGTGTATGACAATTCATTCAATTATTTCGAGCCCATCAGACGTTATGGGCGGGACAAGAGAAAGTTCATGGACATACGGAGGCTATACCGTAATACGTCAAACTTTCAATGGGTGTAAAAAAATAGACCTTAAGAGACCTTAAGAGGGCAGATGCTGGCTATTTTAACATAACAGATGTAACAAGTTCTGAAGAAATTTAAAAAAAGAGGTTTTGGTTCGTGGCTGATGGAGACCCAGGCATGGCTGGTAGTCATTTAACATTCATGAGCTACAAGAGAGGGGGAGTGTGACGCGTTCAGGGGGCAAACAGAGGGAGGCCAGAGCGCAAACAGGTGGGTTGGGTGCATGAATAATTGAGCAAACGATGACTCGTGAATAACTCTCTGTAACTGTGAGGATATGAGTTGCCATGTGTTGATTGGGGTCACATTGGGTGCGCCTTGTGTCGATACAGAAATAGATGAACGCAATATGAACGTGGCAAATGTGACAAATAGTCCGTCCATCTCTCCAAGTACCGGAAGGTGATTTAAATGAAGAACACACACTGTGAGAAGTTGTTACACGCCTAAAGTGGTTATGGAAAAGTAACACAATGACTCAACACAGTTTTAATGGTTGTGAATGAGTAGAAAATCAAAGTACGTAATGGGTAAAATGGGAATTTCCCATTTCCCATGGGAAATGGGAAAGGTAAAACCTAATTATCACATGTTTACAAGAAACATACACATCTCCAGATCCAGATTAGAGGAGACAACGTACACTCACTGACCAAAAAAGTGTTATCAGGCTGTTGCCACATGTAGTCAAAGCAGCGAGGAAGATCTGTAGACAGTGGGGATGCCTTGTAGACTCATTAGACAACATTACCATCACTGGATGGGGTTTGGTCGGGGATCATTTTGTAGGTTTGCATGAGCCCAGGTGGATAAATCATAAAACCACCCAGCATGTGGGGCATACAGTGGCACAATGCCAGAACCAGTGGGTACCTGGGGGTTGCCAAGATAGACCACATCAAGGGAAGGTCATAGTAATGCGTGTCAAGCATTACAACATCCGATGAGATGTGTGCCACAGGACCGGATTCTTTCCAAAACTTTGACTTATCTCAAATCGTGTGTCAATGACTGGAATTAGCTGGACTATGGGTTCACCCTCTGATCTGAAGACGGCAATTAACAACAGAGAATAGACGGCAACTTGTTTTTTAAAACTTAAAAACAAATACAGGTGAAACAGGCATATAAAAGGTTTGACCTCTTTTTGTTTGTCTCAGTTTGGCATCGGATCCACCAATATTACTGTAAGAGTTCCAGCACTTTCCCTTGCTGCTATTTTACACTAGAGGGCACCAACAGATCCACATCTGACGATCATTCACCTGATGAGCTGCAAGGACTACTTAAGGCAGTTGATGACTGCTATCCGACGCTGGTGCATAGTTGTGTTCCTGGCCTTTACGTTGCTCCCAGTGTGTTGTGAAAAAGTAATCTTGAATCTCCTGAGCCTCCTAGTGATTTTACCAGATGTTCCCTGCCTTCCACCACTTTGTGTGAGACCCTTCTGGAAACCTTTGGATTGCACCCATGTGACGACACTGTCTGTTCATAGTAAGGAATCCGAACATCAAGACCAGTCTCCCAGAGGAGCCATCTACTAATGCTGTTCCCTACCCTCCAGGGTTCCAGTCCAGGTCTACAGATCCTACATACTGTTCATTATTATTCACCCATGTAAATAAACACTGATAACTTTCTCCTGGCCCTGAAGTCACTGTTCTCAGTCTCATACTATCTGGGTACAGAGCCAAACCTTACAATTACCTCCCAGCAGGCTCCATTTCTTTAGCCGGTCCCACATATCAGCCCAGAGCTGCGTTGACCTGCTGGGTCAATCAGCTCGTTTCATGAATAAGAACACTTGAGACCAGAGAACATGAGTCTAATCAGTTGGTTCAGCTTATCTGACTACACAGAGAACGTGGTGTTTTATGTATTCTTTTTAGCCAGATATCGATGGAGGTGCGTGAATGAATGTTTAAGAATGAAGGGCGGTCCACTCACAGCTACGAATAACCAGATCTGATTACCGTGGGGGGTGTTAAAGGCTAATATAACTGGATCATGGTTCCAACTATGGTGCAAAAGTCAGAACTAGATATTTAAAAACAAAATGCTCCACATGTGCCATATAAAATGAATTTAACCTTTTATCAATCTTGGGGCGGGGGTTGAACGTGTACTTTGGGACAGTTTCAGCTTCGTTCAGTCAACTGAAGACACTTTCCTCAGCTGCCAACATCTTTATGGCGATATGGTGCGTTAGCGCCGACTTGTGTAAACAGGAAATGGGCAGTAATTGCCTTCAAAAGGGCAGGAAGTCATTTTCTTCAAAGGTTAGAGAGATAAAGTGATTTTTCCTGGAGGTATTAAAACGAAAATTGCTGTCAGTATTACTGCTTATTCCAACTTTCAGACACTTTTCATCAGTTGTCATCACCGGCTGCATTAAAAGACAGGGCGATCATGTAACCGTGACCTTGGAGCTGAGGTGATGGGAAGTGTACGCAACACTCTGTCTAATGATGATGCACAAGTGTATGAAGTTTTGTTCAACTATTTTGAGCAAATGAAAAGTTATGGGTGGGACAAAAGAAAGTTTTCGGACGTATGAACGGAGACTAGACTGCACAACGTCCACCTTTTGATGTGCGTATAACAATAATAACAAAACAACGAATGGGTATTTAACATCCAGAAACTGTGATTTCTCCTCAACATCAAGCTAACTTAGCTCGTGTCAAAACGTGAGTTAATCTCCAGACGCCCACGGCTCCCAAATCCGTCTGTCCTTCCTGTTTCAGCTCGTCATTCTCTCATTAAACCTCCCAGTCGTACTACATCGGGTCCAACACCTCGTAATCCATCTGCGCACCTCCCACCTCGTCCCTGTTTGGCTCCTCGGCTAGCATCGGTGTTGCCACGGGGAAGAAAAGGAGGTCAGCGGGAACAGGAGGGGGAACGAGGCTGAGAGCGAAGCTGCCATCACTCGTCCTGCCCTTCAACTCCTGCTGCCACGGAGGAGGAGGCGAGGGAAACAAGCGGGAGATGAGGAGAGGCTTGATCGCCTGCCCGGTTCTGTCGTTCCCAGAGGGACGGGCCCTGATCATGTCGGCAGATGGCAGGTCCGTGTGTGTGTGTGTGTGTGTGTGTGTGTGCGTGTGCGGACAGGGACTGGTTTACATCACAGTGACAGCTGTAAGTGACAATACCATCACTCTCAAATCTGAGATTCAAACAACAGGATGGATGTTCTGCTCAGTTTAACTGAAGAAAATAAAAGCTGGACGCTTTGCCTAAATGCTGAAAATACACTTTTAAATGTTAAACAGGGAGAACAAAGGCTAAAAGTAGCTAAATATTAAAATCATTTAAGATTAATAGCTAAACAAATTACTTTGTAAAACAGATGAAAAAGCTAGCATCGACAAAACATTTGCAGAAACTCTCAAAATCGAAGCCAAAAGTTAAAAGAAGCAGAATAACAGCTAAAAGATCAAACAATCAAAACATTAGATAAAAGCTAAAAGTAGCAAAACTTTAACTAAAACCTAAAAGGAACAGAGTAATCGTTAAAATCTAAAGGAAACAAAAAGTAAGTAAAAGTCATGGGTAGCACAGCAGCAGCTAAAAGCAAAAATCAGCAAAAGAGTAACTAAAAGGCTAAATTACCACAATGGTAGCTAAAAGGTAAAATTAGCAAAAAAATAGCTAATAGCTAAAAAAACTGTAGCTAAAACCTTAAAGGAGCAGAAAAGTTGATAAAACTAAAGAAGGGAGAATATATAACAGCTAAAGGTAGCAAAATTGTAGCTAAACGCTAAAATTAGGAAAACAAGATTAAGCCCAAGTTTGCAAAATAATAGCTAAAATTAGCTAAATTCTAGCTAAAACCATAAAGGAGCAAAACAATTGCTAAAAATAAATGGGATAATAGCTAACAGCTAAAAGCAGCAAAATGACAGCTAAAAGCTAAAATGAACTAAACAGATGATAAAGCCAAAGTCAGCCAAATAGTAGCTAAAATTTGATAAATTGCAGCTAAAACCTTAAAAGAAAGATGCTAAAAATTAAAAAAGGAGAATAACTAACAGATAAAAGTAGCAAAACGGTAGCCAAAAGCTAAAACTAGAACATAGATGATAAAGCCTAAGTCTGCAACATAGTGGATAAATTTAGCTTAATTGCAGCTTTAACCTTAAAGGAGTAGAATAGCTGCTAAAAGCTAAAAGAGATTAGCTCACAGCTAAAAGTAGCAAAATGATAGCTAAAAGCTAAAACTAACATAAGATGAAATCAGAGCATGTTTGTCGAGGCAGATTTCCACGAGAAGAATGTTTTTTGAAGAACATTCAGAGATCAGTGTTTCAGTGGTGATTAAAATAAACAAATTAAAAAAGTTTTTATTTTGGCAGCTCCCTCCTGCAGGGGTCGAAACGTCGAGCAAACTCGCTCAAAAGATTCAGCAACTGTCGCCCTTCCTGACGCAACCCGGGCTCAAACTTGCCGTCTTGGGATTACAAGACGGTGGCACTGACCACCGAGCTACAGCACTGATAACAAAACAAAAAATTAGAAAAAGCAAAAATTGGTGGAAACTACTCCTGATCGAGCTGAACGTTTTGACGCATGAACGGTTAAAATAGAACAAAGTATCAAGAAATAGTTCGACTTCAAAAAAAACGTCCAGAGGAAACGTTCGTCACCAAGATCACAAGAAAACCACGAACGTATCTATCGAGGTCTCGTCCCGTGCTCGTCCTCCTCTCGGAGACAGAGGAAAAAAGAACTGCGTTGGTGCTTATATAAATCCTTTACCGTTAAATTGAATTTCACACTCCCGCCCCGGAGCTCCGGCAGCTTCGTGAGGAGACAAAGTACACAGCAATCAGTCTGTCAACTCAGAATGTGTGCCAGTGCTGCTGGAATGATGAAATCACACCAATTTAGGTCTTAATCTGCCATTTGTTGCAACTGAAGGAAGATCAAGTTTAAAAGACTTCTTGTTGTCAGCCACAGTAAACGTCCTTTTGATCAAAAAATACCAGAATCATAAAGTTGCTCAACAATAAGGCTAGTTAAACCGAACTTCTATCTTCTTGCTGGTATTTCTGAACAATCGGGAACCACTGGGGTGTAAATCCGAGGACTGGGGCAACTTTGGAAAGAAGCTTCATAGATCAGGACTGAGTTTGTGTTTCGGGTTAAAATTAAGAAAATTGGACTTTTATTCGAAAGGTGTGACTGAAAATCCAGATTTCAGAGTTACAGAAGCCAAGATAACGAAGGCGGTTGACGTCACGACCGTAACTTTAATTTTATTTCCGGTGGATAAATGGAAAAAGTGAATATGTCAGACATAGCCATACATGCAGCGTGCCAATGAGCTTCCTTCTACAGAGAACAGATACCTCAAACATAAAGCAACTGGTGTCCAAAACCAACCATAGATCTTTTGTCTGTTCTTTAACACAAACATAATTACTACTAAATAACCACAGCTTATTCATCTCCGATTCATCCGAGTTTTGACTGTCGAGTTCTTAAGAACTGAACATTTTTCATTCAACCTTTATTTATACTATTTATTACTTTATATTTATAGGTTAGTCTCATTGAGTCATGAGGACTCATTTATGAGAGACCTGTTTTATACAGACAACATATAAAGCACAGACAACAATAAACTAAAATAAAATGCAATTAAAATAAAAGTAGTGCTACAAAACAATAAATCATGGTGCCTTATAAAACAAGGTAAAATGTAAAAAACAAGACCATATTTGCTTTGATGTTTCTATTGACCTTATCAAATGTTTAAAATCCCCTAAAGAAATTAAGGTGGACAGCTTCAGTTCCTGTTGCAAGCTGTTCCAGGTTACAGGAGCAGAGTAGGAAAAGACCTTTTTGCACAGTTCAGTTTGCACTAAGGGAACACTGCAGGTAATGATGTCTTGAGAGCGCACGCCGTAACTGCACTGACGGCGTGACATGTGGGAGGAGATAAAAGAAGGATGCAGTCCAAGGAGTGATTTACAGTTGAACACGTACCAGTGTGAGAGCCTACATGTAGATAATGATGACTAACTGACCAAGGAGGACAGGGTGCAGTGATGGTACGATAGTTACAATCAGTTGTGAATCTTAGCACGCCATGGTAGACAACGTCCAACATCTGCAAGGAGATGGCAGGGGCACTCATGTAAATAATGTCACCATAGTCAATGGCCGGTAGGAAGGTGGCGGTTACAATGTGTTTTCTGGCATTCAGAGTTTAGCAAGATCTATTTCTGTAAAAGAAACCCAGTTTTAATTTCAGTTTCTTTAACAAGTTCTCAATATGCATTTTAAAAGAGAGATGTGCATCGACCAAAATTCCCAAGTATTTGTAAGAATCTACAATCTCAAGAGGAACACCATGCATGGATGAGGTAGAAGGAAAAACTGCTTACACTGACTTCCTATTTGAAAACAACATCCCTTTGGTTTTATCACCATTTAGCAGCAGTTTGAGATGGGACAAATCTGACTGGATGATGTCAAATGCAGACTGTAGAAGCTAGAAAACTTTGGCAACCGTGTTAGCTCGGCAATAAACAACTGTATCGTCGGCATACAGATGCAAGGATACCTTGCATGAAAGCTTTAAACAAAGATGTCATGCAGTCTGTTTGCAATTAGAGTACCGATATGTGGTGGGGTTGACACTCAGCTAATACCACAACAAGTTTTAGCTCAATATCTGTCAGATTTAATGAGTTGTAACCATTTTTGTGTTTAGGAGGACTAATTGTGGTGACCACCAATGGAGATGACTCCAAAGAGATATTTCGCTTACAGACAAGCATAGACATGATTACCCATACGATTTATTGGAGGCAAAAAAAGTCACAGTTCAGCTTCTTACTCAAATGACAGGACTGTGAAAGACGAGGACACTCATTTTAATAAAGCCCTCAAAACATAAAGTAGTTCAACTTTTTAACTTAAATCAGGGCTAGCTCACAGATAAGAAGAGTTACCCACTTCAGGTAACGCAAGATGAAATAATTTTATGTCAAACCTTTGTATCAACGTCTCGACTAACGGTTACTTTGTGCAACCTTACCATAAATCTTCTGGATTCCCATAAGGTCATCCATGGGCAGTTTGAAGTTGTCCGTGTCCATGTACTGGTAGAATGGAGCCATGATGGCCGTGGGATCGTTGGAGTGTTCGAGGCCGAGCGCATGACCGAGCTCGTGGACGGCGACCAGGAACAGATCGTTACCTAGAAGCAGAAAGAAGAGGAGAGAAAGAGCGGTTCTGTCAACGCTTCTGGTGCCAAATTGTTTTGGAGCATCTTTATCTCCTCACAAGAAAACTGATTAATAAAATAAATAAATAAAACTTGGCCAGCCTCCGGTTTGTTTTGTTTTGGGGGGGTTTGTCACCTTGCACTTCATCAGGCTGCACCTGTTCTGGTTGGTGCCAGATTAGCTCTTCAGGATACAGCCAAGTTTTTTTCCAAGTACTGCTCTGGCTAATACAAAAGCAGGCTTTAGGGGAATACTGGTACTTTCTTGTTTTGACTGGGGAAAAAAAAGTTAATTTAAAGTCCTGACATCAGTCTGCAACACATCTAAGCGTTCGTGAGAGCAGATAAACATCGTAAGCCTTTACTATACTCTTCCTTGTAAGAAGTGTTGTACAAACTCCCCTTCATTCACTGAGCACAGGTAACTTTCACTCTGTTTTAGACGTTCATTTGTTTAAAATGTGAGCCAACACACATCCATCCATTCATCCATCAAGGTCACTTAGGCCACTTTTCTTTCAGACATCCCACTCCCCAGCAACACTTTACAGCTCTTCCTGGGAGATCTCAAAGTGTTCCCAGGCCAGAGAGGATACAGTACATAACCCTCCTAGTGAGCTCTGGATCTACCTCATGGTCTCCTTCCAGTGGGATGAGAATGGAAAACCTCTAGAGGGATGTGTCCTAATCAAACACTGTATTATTTTAACTGACTCCGTTGGATGTGGAGGAGAAGTGGCTTTACTCTGAAAATCTTCCTGATCTCAAAGGCTGAACTTGGCCATTCTACTAAGGAAGCTCTGTTGTATCCAGGATCTTATTTATTTGGTTATGATTCATACCCGTGAGGATTGGAACATAGATGGGCCAGCAAATAGTGACACTTTCTTCACGACAAAAGACTGAAACAACATACTCATCTCCCACTCCATCCCACCATCACCAGTGGTGAACAAGACTCCCAGATACTTGTACTGCTTAGGATTCAGACTCAACCCCAACCTGAAGGGCACGCTACACCTTTTTTCTGGTTGAGTACCATGACTTCAGATTGAGAGGAGCCGCCGTTTCACACTCAGACGCCAACAGAACCACATCATCTGCAAAAAGCAGAGGAAAAAACCCTGCGGTTCCCAACCAGAGCACCTTCATTCCTTCACTGAACCTTGGGACCTTGTCCATGACATCTCAAACAGAAGTGGAGATGAGGGAACAGGGAACAGGGAACAAGCTTGACTTTGTGCCAAGTCTGCAGACTTAGCTCTGGCTTTGGTTCTACAGGAACAAATAAGCCCTTGAAAGCAACCGTCCTTTTACAGCCATTTTTTTTAAACAAAGACACTTGCTTCTGGGAAAAAAAATACCTTTGTGTCTTCATCTATGACTCTGCAAGAAAATATTTTAAATCTGACCCATAAGAAGCTAACCATCATCCAGTTGAAGGTAGACTGGTATGTCTTGTATAATTAATGATGGCACCCGGTTTGTCCGTGAAAAGCCATTAACCTATTTATAATCTCTTGCTTCCATATCGTCATCTTGAACTTCAAAGGAGAGCCATTCCCTTCTTGTCATGAATAGAAACTCATTGTTTCCAGCTTTCATCTAGTGGTTTTAATGATGCATAATACAAGTTTAGAACTGTGACGGTTTCTAAAAATAAGGTTGCTCCACAAAATGCCATCTTGGTTCAGTTTTTTTTCCCCTTTCTTATTGCACTTGACGAGAATGGAACATCACTTATTCAACGGAATTCCTCGTAAAGTCAGGCACTTATCAGATGCATATCTGTCAAATGAATAGCACATCCGCAGACAGATACACTGATTCAGATCACTTCCAAGCAGGTATAGTGCAATTTTTCAGAATTTACGGCGCAGGCCTGTTTGCAGAAACGACTTTAATTCGAACTCTGAGTGATATTTGACTTCATAAATGTCGGGGAGTCTTTACAGGTCTGATGGAAAGCCCTCCACAGCACGAGCGTTTCTGCTGGAAAAGCATTGTGTTTCAGCCCAAGTCTTACAATAAAATACAGAAAATTTATGCACACTTGTAACACTGAACAAGTGTCTGGAGACGTGGTTTATGTCAAATAAAGAGAAAGACAGAGAGAAGAAGTAGAAAGTGCTACGGCTCTGTGATTTAGAAGTTGCTCATGGGGGGAAACTTGTAATAAGAGCGAGAGTAAAAGTGCTCAGTGAGGTTTTGAACATTAGACGATCTGCCTCACAGAGCCAACAACAGACGCCTGTCATTTACAGTTGGCTGTAAAACGGCGGCGTAGTTTCATGACAGCAGAAACAGCAACCAATAGAAACACGATACAAAACAGGTTTCGTGACTGGATTAACCTCTGTAAACTGAAAACAACAAAGTTAACAGCTTTATACAATTTCACTTTAATGAGCATGAATATCATATGAATTTTGGGCTTTTGTTATTTTATTTTAATTGAGTTTTTTTAGTTCATGGCACAAGGAATCGGCATGGCCAGAGACCCGCCTATGCTTGTTACCCAGCATGCATTGCACTCAACCTTGATGGTCCTCCTTACAGGTGGTGAGCCCACATGGAGGTGGCATCCTCTCTTTCTTTAGGGCCTGGCATAGCCAAGTCCTAAGAGCTGAAGCTTGACCACCAGACCTGGCTCCAGGGAGGTGCCACAGATTTTCAATGTATATGTTGTCCATCCATCAAGAGTTTAGAATCGCTCTTAGTCTGACTCCTTAACTGGCGCCTGCTTGCCATGGCAGACCCTCCCAGGGGCTGATGCCCCAAAGAACATGGCCCCCAGGCTAGAGATAGTGTGAGGAGCTCTGTCATTCAGGTGGAGCAGAGCCACTGCTCCTTTACATCAAAAGTAATCAGTTCAGGTGGTTTAAGGATCTAATTAAGATGCCCCCTGGATGACTCTCTTTGGAGGTTTTTCGGGCATGTCCCACTTAGAAGAGACCTCAGGGCAGACCCAGAACTCTCTGGAGGGATTGTGTATCCTCTCTGGCCTGGGAACGCCTCAGGGTTCCCCAGCAGAGCTGGAGAATGTCACTGGGGAGAGGGATGTCTGGGTTTCTCTCCAGGACCTGCTGCCTCCATGACCCGATTACGAATAAGACGGAGATGGAGATTCTTTTTACTGGGGTAGAATGAATAAGCAATTTAAAAAAAATTGAAAACAAGAATTGGGTGCAAAAGTTTGAATTTAATGTGGATTTTCCCTGTCCTTTAACAACGTGTACCTGGACCACATGTTTTTTGTGGTCATCAACAGGCTTCTGGCAGAAGTCTGGCTGCTTTTTGTGTAGTCAGATTTGGTAGAATTTGTTTAAATTTGTTGGTTTTCTGGCACGGACATAGCTTTGAGGTGTAGGGTACAAACTTTAAATCACTTGAAAGCTGGGACTCTTGGAAGGTCAATCCAGAAGCTTACCGCTAGTCTGTTATATCCAATGAGAAACCAGTTCTGATGTGCATTTGTCCTGTTGGAACACCCAACTGTGTTCAAGTTTCAAAGGTCAGCTGTTAAGAAATTGGAGGTAGTTTTCCTACGTCATTATTCCATTATGTCCTGAAGCCTCATGGGTCATTTTAAACCAAGTACAGCAAGAGGGATTAAAATTCAATTTAAATTTATTCCACAGATTTTATCTTTTTTTAATCTAACTCAAAATGGTTATATCCAGAATTTCACCTCCTCAATACAGCCCAAGATAGATCAAGCAGATTTGAGGACTTCGGAACAGGACAACATATAAATCTGTGTATCGTCTGCATAACAGTGAAATAAAATTATGCTTTTGTGGAAAATATGACTAAAGGAAAGCATTAAAACTGAAAATAATTAGTCAGTATTGTATCATATGTAGCCACAGCAGTGTAAGGTTTGATTCTACAGTTGATTTGTTCAAGTTGAAGGAAGGATAGTCTCCATTGTCTTCTCGAGTCAGCCTTGGTGCCTCATGGGCCCATTTGAGGTCAACTTTGTCACTCTCTTTCGGCTTCTTATGCAACTAACGATGTAGACAGGCCGTCACTTCGACCCCGAGGCCTTAAACAAATCTAATTATAAAGCTGAAGGTTTACAGATGCTACATGCAAAATATTGAAGTTAAAGACGGGCGAGAAAGAGCAAAAGAACAGTTTAATCGGGATGAAGGGAGAGGAAACAGGTTCTGAAGAGTAGATAAACTTGGAAATAAAAAAGGGTGAAGTAAAATGAAGAGAAAGGGCATTTGGAGGGAAAGCTACTTGAAGGAAAGGGGGGAAAATGGGTGATAAAGAAAGGAGGGAAAATCTGAGGCGAGGAAAATGATAAAGCTGGAGACGATTTATCTTTCTGTGTTGGCACAGCTGCAGAAGATGGAGATGATGAATTATACAAGTCCAACCTTTGACCTTGGCATTTATAACATCGCCCTTCTATCAGGAGCCGTTTCTGAAACCCAAACACAAAAGTAAAGCAGAAAATGGAAAATGCATAAACAATGCATGACATGAAATGCATCGTAGAGCTCCACAGGGCTTGTGTGGGTACGCACTCCTATTATCTAGTGATTCATAACTTTCCTTTCTGCCGCTCGCTCATTTAGCACAAAATGAAGTCATATTGAATTATATTAAAAGCAATATTCAAAGTAACTAAATGTATCCTCTGTTAAATCATTTAGCTTTTTATTTGCTCTTCTTTGTAGTGGCAGCTAGAGGCAACAGCAGTCCTGCAGGCACAGCTTAGGATAGGTCAAGGTTACCGCTAATGAGATAGTGCGGCTGAGAAGGAAGAAAAAAGGAGATAAAGAGGAGAAGATGGAGTAGAGCAGGAGAAACACGGGAGATTTATGATCTGATGTACCTTCCTCTGTCTTTCCCCACAGGGCTCGCAGTAAAGTAAACAGGATTTTTGGATTAGAAACCAGAAACCCCGAGCCGGTCTTTCTCCATTATTTACCAGCTCTCTGAGCACATTGCTGCTGCTG